ATGCAAAGGATCGCTTGTGCTTTAGAAAGTGCATCTGCCAATTCTGGTCGTAGGAAGGGAGACCTTGAGGACAGAGCAATAGGAGATAACCAGCTGAAGCCTGAAGACACAAATCTTCCAGGGAGGGACTTTGAGTACAATCTAGTCCAAGGCCCTGGTCCTAAATATGAGGAACCACGGCTGGAAGGGGAAAAGGGTTTGCTCAAGAGAATACTCACTGAGACTTCCCAGAGCAGACAGGGTTCAAGTTTGGCGGAGGAGACTGATGAGCACTGGACCACCAGGATCTTGCCCCTTTCACGCTCATGTTTGCTTACTCCTCAGTCAACCTGGGAGGTACCTATTTTAGCTCCATTTGACAGATGATGAAATTGAGGCCAGAGAAGTTAAATGACTACCCCAGTGTCACACAGCTAACATGGAACAGGGGTGAGCCTCAAATATAAGCCTAAGTCCTTTTTTTTCTATCTTTAGATGAAAAAAAATATGATGAGGTAGGACATAGAAGCAAGTGGGACTCAGTGGTGATGCTGATCCTTATTCTTAAATAAGATGTCAGTGCCTGAGAGCATCTGGGAAGTCAGGGAGAGGCAAGAGCTAGTTTAAATTGCTAAATGAGCCCCTTAAACCTCCAAGTCCCAGCTGCCTTCTAAAAATTGAGGAAGTTGAAATAGATAGTCTCAAAATAAATTTGCAAAGTGGAACAGGCAAAAAAAAGTTGAGTAGTGAGTGGCCCAGAATCCTAGAGGTCTAAACTCCTTTCCCACTGCCCCTGCCAAGGCCATTCCCTTCCCTGTGGTTTGCACAGAGAGAAAGTGCCATAGGGAAACTCTGCAGCATCTGGGTACGTCACTGATGTGATGAGTCAATGGACAAATGCCTACATAACGCTCACCTACCAGCCCCTTCCTGAGTCGGAAGCATCAGAACTCAATTCATTAGGAGACTAAAACCCAAAGTCCGTACCCTGGTGGTAGAGTTTGTTCGCTTAAAAAAAAAGAAAGTTAGATTAAGATACACAGGGGCTGGCCTGGTGGCCCAGCCGTTAAGTTCGCACATTCTGCTTTTCGGCGGCCCGGGGTTCGCCAGTTCAGATGCCGGGTGAGGACATGGCACCGCTTGGCAAAAGCCATGCTGTGGCAGGCGTCCCACATATAAAGTAGAGGAAGATGGGAAGATGTGAGCTCAGGACCAGGCTTCCTCAGCAAAAAAGAGGAGGATTGGCAGCAGATGTTAGCTCAGGGCTCATCTTCCTCAAAAAAAAAAAGATACACATATTAGATTACTCCAATTCAGAGAGTCTAATAGACTTTGAGAGCCCTTTTCTCCAGCTCTGACTTAAGATCTGTTATAAACTGTTCGAGGTCTATTCCTCATGCTCTCATATAAGGCAGCCACTTGCTCAGTTTCAGGTTCAGTTCAGCTCTGACTGTCACATCTCTTCTACCTTCCCTGCCTTATTTTAATAAAACTGCTGCCTTGCCTGGCTATGATGGGGCCAAGATAAAAGAGGATAGTCCCCAACAGAGGAAACACTATGACTTGGCATAACAAATGTGATTTACATGCTTTCAGTCTATTTTTTCATGCCAGTCTGCCCTGTACCTTCAGAAGACTCCACCCAACTGTAATACAATGATAAATCTGAGTTAAACAGGCAAAGAAAGGTAGTCTTTTCTAATGATAATGTCAACAATAGCCCACTTGGGAGAGGAAGTGGCATAGATACCTCAATATCTCACGCCCTTTTTCTGGCCACTCCAAGTCATTACTCACATTTGTTCTTCTGCCGAAGCCAAACATGCGCACTTAACCGCTGCGCCACCGGGCTGGTCCCCTCTTCTGAAAGATCTATTATTCAAAGTCCCTGAGCAGCCTGGCTGAACAAAGAATGCAGAGGTGGTCACCTCACTCTGCCACATTTCCCTTCAATACATCTCACATATTAACACTGTCTGAGATATAGTCTCTCCTTGGTTGCAGTTTCGTATCAAATATTCTCATTTCAATATTGATATGCTACACTATATGGCAGTGTTGATCAGGTGGAAAAGTAAATCGAATACTTCTGCAATACCTATTTTTAAAAAGTTCACTGGGCCCCTTACCTGAAGTTTGGCTAAACACTCTGTAATTCTCCAGTGCATTGGCTGGGGCCTCAGTCAAATCTCTGCCTTAGTAATTTAACAGGACAAGCTGACCTGGGTCCTCAGTGCAGTCTGTACTGTTAACACAGTGTACCCAAGAAATCCTGCCACTCCCACTCCCTGGGCATGTGGTCACAATGCAGCTGACCTATCTGTGCAGACGACTGGTAGGCCTGGGCCTAGGCCTTCATTTTAGTTAACGTAGATTCAACGCCTTTCAGATCGCTCATGATGAGTCTGTCAGCCAGGGTTCCCAAACCCCTCAGACCCGCTGAGGATGTCTCCATTGCCCAAGACTCCTGCCTGAGTGTGGTAGCTAAACTGGAGCCAGCAGCTCCTGGGCCTGAATTCCACCTCCAGCCAGAGGCCCCCAGGGTGTGCATGTGCCAAAGCGCTGAGGGAGGAGAATGGAGATCAAAGGAGAGCATCCCAGAAACATCCTGGAGGTGACGTATGTCCCCTAGTCCTCCAGAGTGATCCCAGACACCTCCAGATGCCTGGGGATGACCCTTTTCTCCAGAGCAAAGGTGTGTAAGTTAGGGTCCACAGACCCCTAAGGAGTCTAGGCAAGCACTTCAGGGGCTTCACAAATTCCCTTTTGATGTACATAAAATGTGTATATATACATTATTCTGGGGAGCTGGTTTCATGGCTTTCGTGTTTTTTTTAATCTAGTCTACGGAAGAATCTTCAGAGCTCTGTGGAAGTCTCCAAGTTGGGGTTACTGGGACAGAGGGAGGCTCAGTTAGTCCAATTCTGACACAGATGAGTCCTGAATCTCTGATATCCAGCCATATCCATTGTATGTAACTGACTGCCAGATGACAGGCTCCAGGAAATGTCCCTGAACCTGCAAAGACTTTTTTTTTTTTTTTTTTTGAGGAAGATTAGCCCTGAGCTAACATCTGCTGCCAATCCTCCTCTTTTTGCTGAGGAAGACTGGCCCTAAGCTAACATCCATGCCCATCTTCCTCCACTTTGTATGTGGGACGCCTGCCACAGCATGGCTTACCAAGCAGTGCCATGTCCGCACCCGGGATCTGAACCGGCAAACCCTGGGCCGCTGAAGCAGAACGTGCAAACTTAACCGCTGCACCACCAGGCCGGCTCCTGCAGAGACTCTTAATGATCATCCCAAGTACAGTATCCTCCCTGAAAGGACCATTTGTACCTGGATATCTCAGAGACAGATCCAGAAGAGGAAAAATATATATGCTTTGAGCCTAAGACTGGCTGAGTTCATCATAGGTCCCAAGCCAAGCCTCTGGGACTGACCTCTGAGGCAGAAGAGGGCACGGAGCCATTGAAGAGGAGCAGTCATGAGCTCCAGGCCTGGCCCCTAAGAGCCTGGGGCCAGAGGGGCACCCTCCAACCCCTGCAGAAAGGGAGGGCTGGTCCCGATAGCCAGTCACTTCCCCTCATCTAATGCCCAAGGTCTCCCCACATCCCGACATAACAGTGACCCTGCAGAAGGGAGGCAGGCCCACCACTGGCCCAGAAAGCCAACCGGAGAATTGGTGTCTGTGTCCTGGCAGGGCACAGCCTAATCTGGAAGCTTCAGAAAAGCAAGGCGCTTTGAAGCCAAGGGTTCATTTATACTGTGGTTCTCAAACTTTAGTTGAATAAAGATCATCCCAAACGTCTGTCTGATAACAGACTCCTAGGGCCAGGGGATTGAGATCAGTTGTTCTGCGGTGTTTACATTTTTAAACGGAAACTAGTAATTCTGATCTCAGGAGTGCAGTTTCCAGGGGCTCTACGGATCAGAAGTGGAGAGGGGGATTGATCAAGTGAACTCCCCTCCCTAATTCCCACCGAAGTAAGAGCAGAAGCTTCCAGTTGCCATTTGAGTCCTTCTCTGCGGCAGCTACTACGCTAAATCTCTTACGTGGACTATTTTATTTAATCCTTACAACCCTGTAGTTCAGAGAGAATAAGTAACTTGCGCAAAACCCGAGCTGAGCATGAAAGCCAGGACTGGGACCCGGATCAGAATCTAGAGTCTGTTTTTAACCAATACGCCCGTGACTTTGAAAAGAGCTTCAGTGCCTAGACCCTGATGACAGCACAGGAGAAGCTACGAAGCCACATTCCCTCTGCAGCTGGGTCGGGGGAGAACCCACGGCCACAGCGTGAGTAGGCCGCCACTGCAGGAGAGGAAGCTGACGACCAGGTGGGCTCAAAGGTCCAGCGTGGAGTCAGACAGGAGGAACTATGGCTGGCGGGGCTAACAAGGTAAGGACTACATTCCTGGAGTGCCAAAGGGACAGAGGCCAGGGATGAAAAATGTTGGGTAGTAACAAGTGGACAAAGGGGGCTTTAAAGGAATCAACTGTCCTCAGAGAAGTCAATCAAACATGTTGGAAAGCTTCTGGGCAGCACAGGCCCAAGGCCGCTGCGGGTGCAGGGCCCCGCTGGTTAGGGCTGCATTTTCCTCTTCAACTGAGGAACGACGAGTGTGATGCACCAGAACCAAGACTGACTTTGGAGCCCAGGATCCTTTACAGACTATTAAATCCTCATCCTGTAAAGGGGCCATAACAATAGCACCTAGCCCACAGAGGCACAGACAGTGAGGAGTAAATGAGAGAATTTGAATAAAGTGCTTAGTATAATGCCAGACACACAGGAGTGGAACAAGTATTAGCTGCTGTAATCACTAACTACTACTAATTATGACTACAAGCACGCTCACCAAGAAACCAGTGCGGCACCTTATTTACCTGTGAAAGACACTGAGGTCAAATGTGCTCTATGGACTGAGGTTTTCTCTCTCCAGAGAGAAGTTATTCTTAAAAGCGTTTTGTTTTTTTGGTTGTTTTTTTTTTTTTACAAACTCAAGGGCAAAAAGAGTCACAGGCCCAAACACATCAACAATTTAATCAAAAACAACATTTTGGATTTCCTTTTACCTTTAGTTCTGACATTATCCCAAAACCAACTTGATCAACAGTTCCATGCAAATTTGTTCTGAGGAAAAAATGAAGCTATAGGGTCTGTGCAACTTTTTCATTCGACAGCTACCTTTTCACGCATACAACTGACTGTGACGCTCAGCTGAACTCCTGATAGTTTTCAGCTGCCTGAGAGAGATGGCCCAAAGAAATGAACTTCATCTTCAGACAACAGCTCAAGCAGGCCAGCAAGAAGGCTGACAGCTGAAGCGCGGTGAACAGGGCTGAGTACTCCCTCAGCAGCCAGGAACCCCTGATTTTAGGAGAAACCCATCCCTCCAGCCCCTCACCTAGCCTGTTTGCTCAGAGTGAAGGAGAGGGGATCAGACAGACTTCCTGAGCATTTGGGTGGTTTTGGATAGACGGGAATGACAGGGACAGAAGAAACGAAGTCTCCCAATGAATCAGATAAAGAATATCACAGAACTGGTTAAGATCAGAGACAAGACCAAGCAGCACCTTTGGGATAAACAAGAGGCCCTCTGGCTGCTCTGATGAAAGGCTCCCACATGCCTCCAGGGAGGGAGGATGCGTGTAAGGAACAGAGATATACAATCCACCCTCTGCTTCCACATCCTGCGTTAGGTCAGTATGAACACGGCTTTGCTCCCGTGCATCAGACCTGACGTGGGTCCTGGAAATGGTGGGTCAGGCATGTCCCAGACACCCTCACCAGAGAACACATCCATGACAAGCCCAAATTCTTAATTCCTTAACTATTTTGAGTCATCCCACATTGCAGCTACTCAGGAATACAACAAGCTTTGTAAAAAACAAAAAAAAGCTGCACATTTTAATTCGAGAAACAAGTAAAAGGTCACAAGCCATCCAGAACAGGTGGCAGGAGTCTGCTCGACACAATGAGCTATATGCAATGCAGTGGTCCAGGCTCCACGGTCACTGGGGCCAGTGCTTCCTGAGATGCTCCTTCAGCTGAGGAATGGAAGGCAGCAGCTGCTGGCACTCATGACAACGGAGGGGCAGCTTCAGGAGCTCAGGCATCCCGTCTCGGACAGTCACTCTGCCAGCCTCTTGCACCATCTCGATCACAGCTACAGACAAGGAAAACAAGTTCAGAGGGCAGCTCCTCTGGAAAGCCAATATAAGTATCAAAAAAAAGAAAATATGACTCCAAATAAAAACATGCCAGGTATCCTAAAGCCGGTGAACGTGAGGTTAGAATGTTGGGAAAATGGGCTTGATCAGATTCTAAATCTGAGCAGCCTATTTTTGAGATGATTATGCTCCTTCAGGATGCACTCTCACAATCCATGCTACTACATCAAAGGCTATCCCAGCGCTTTAGCCCTGGCTGGCCCTTGGTCGGTCGTAGCTGTCACCATTAACACCCCAGCACACTGAAGTTCCACAGTACGCACACTGGGAAATGCTTCCTTCCACATATAACAGCCTTCCCCCGTTAACTAACCACTCCTGACACAAGGCAGCCCCCACGCTCCTGCCCCGCTGACAGCAGAAGAGACAGAATGCCCAGCGCTTTCACCCCACGAACTCCCATAATTCTCAGGACATGTTGTCTCCTGTTGTTACAATAATAACAATACCTTTCTGACCCTGACAAAATGGCTTTCTAGGTCCCCCAAGAAGGCTGCTCACTGTAAAGGGGCAATCCTGCTACAATCAAACAATCTGGTTTCTTTTAATGGGGCTCTCCTTACAGGGAATACAAATTGTACATGAGTTTTTGAGGCCAGGTTATAATTTAGGGAAACAACTGAATCAAGTATAAGACCAGCTGAGAAAACAAAAGAAATGTGAAAATGATCAACACTGTTTACCTTGTGATTCTAGGAAGTATTCCGTATTGAAAGAATTCCAATGTTTTTTGTTTTTCAGGCAAGGAGAATCGAAATCCTGGCTGATCACGTGAAGGTGTACATGGCTAGTTGAGAGGAAAAAAAATTGACCATTAAAAACTATGGCTTAGGGGCCGGTCCCATGGCCAAGTGGGTAAGTTCGCACTGCCCTTTGTTGGCCCAGGGTTTCACCGGTTCAGATCCTGGGCACGGACACGGCAGCACTCATTATGCCAGGCTGAGGCAGCGTCCCACACAGCAGAGCTGGAAAGACCTAAACTAGAATCTACCGCTATGTACTGGGGGGCTTTGGGGAGAAGAAGGAAAAAAAAAAGATTGGCAGCAGATGTTAGTTCAGGTGCCAATCTTAAAAAAAAAAAACTATGGCTTAATCCTTTCAACATCATTAAGCATTTCTTTTACAGCTGGAGTCTTGTTTAGGGCAGAAAAAATACCCTACAAACTCTGAAAAGGAATGCTGTGTATCAAGAACCTGAACCATATCCTAATCAGTCTCCTTTGAGTGTGACGTCCTAACGACAGAGATCACTGAGTCTCGGTACACACAATCTCAGGATGGGACGTAGGTTTGGGAAGGTGCCACTTACTGAGATGGAGAAGCTTAGGGGAAAGCAGGTTTGGGGAAGAAAATCAATTCTCCCTTAGACTTGTTAAACCAAGCAGGACGCCTTTTGTATAGCTCTGACTCTCAGAATCAGGACTATTTCACATCCCCCCAAGAGATAATCAAAATCAACCCGCGTGTGTGGGAATCCAAAATGGAACCTAAGCAGTAACAAAGAAACTGAACCGTGTGACAAATGAGTGAAGGAACCACACTGAAGAGAGTCAGAAAGAAAATAAGTAACCTAATTAACTCTGGAAAACAGTACTGTGAGTGGATACCGTAAAGGTAAAAAGAACTGTACACAAATACTGTGCCCAGTGAGTGTCTTCCTCACAGGGGTGTGGGTCAGCAATTCTGCAACTGTTTTATATGCATCCTGGAACTGAACAAATAAATGAGCTTATTGTAGCTAAAGAGAGCCAGATTACTCACTGCTGGAGGAAGAAGTTACAATGAAGGAAATGGGGAGACAAAAATGAACCTGTGGAGTGGGACTGAAATCAGAGGTTATCAGTCTGAACTCATGGTTTTCCATATATGTATACAGATAGATAAATACAGATATAAACAGAGAAATCTGTGTGCGGGTTAGGATTCGCATGTGTGCTTCCTGGCTCTATCTGCTGAGAGGACCTAGGAGCAAAGACACCCTGGATCAACCACTTCTCTCATTGCAGAAACCTAGCACCCAAATCTTGGTGTACAAATATCACTCTCCAATAAAAGGAACTAGGGCTCTTTGGAGAAGTGGTTCATTCTAGCACTAGAACAGGAAAATTGTAAGATGAGCTTGGAACATCTTGTTCCAGAAAACAAGGGGCCAGAATAAAAGGAAATAAGGGGCCAGAAAATAAGGAAGTGGTCAAAAAATGTTGGAGGATATCAAAGAGGAGCCAACCTAAAGGAGTATCCAACGACCAAGGCTGGAGCAATATGAGAAACAAAATAAATAATAAAAGATTGAATCAAAGCCTACAGAATAAAATAAATATCCATGAGTCCATACTGATAAATAATTCAATAAATACCTGATGGGGGAGAAGGGATAGCTCTTCCACGACGAAGAATTCTTATTAATAAATTAGAAGGAATGAGGAAACATAAAATCCCCATTAGATAAACACCACAGTAATAACTGTTATAGGCGAGATCCACCTATAGATGCTAAAATCACTGGGCAAAAGTTTGAAGAGAAAGAAAATAGTAGCATAGTCTCAAAATATTCAAGACATTCATCCATTACAAAGACTTTGAGTAGAGAAACCCAGCAGACACCACCAAAGTAAACGTCACAAGGAATAAACCATCTCGACATCACGCACTCCTTCATATGAAGCACTGAGAAAGACACAACAGCACTTCTGTGGTGTTTTGAGAAAAAAAAAAAAAAGGTGTAACCTCAATCTAATCATGAAAAACCATCAGACAAACTCAAACTGAGAGACATCCTATAAAACAATTAGCCAGGGGCCGGCCCGGTGGCACAGTGGTTAAGTGTGCACGTTCCGCTTCGGCAGCCCAGGGTTTGCCAGTTCACATCCCGGGAGAGGACATGGCACCGCTTGGCAAGCCATGCTGTGACAGGCGTCCCACATATTAAAAAAAAAAGTAGAGGAAGATGGGCACAGGTGTTAGCTCAGGTCCAGTCTTCCTCAGCAAAAAAAGAGGAGGATTAGCTCAGGGCTAATCTTCCTCAAAAAAAAAAAGGTGTCAAGGTTATGAAAACCAGAAAAAGGAGGAGGAACTGTCACAGATTAGGGGAGACGGAGGAGAGACAACAAAAACACAGTGCAGCGGGATCTTGGATTGGATCCCAGAGTGGAAAAAGATGCTAAGAAAAAAGGAGGAAATTCGAATAAGGTCTGGAGTTCAATGGTTCAGTGGTGAATTATGGAAGATCTTTGTTCTGCTTCATACTTTCTTTTTCATATTTTCTAAATTGAAAATATATTACTTTTACAGTAGGAATAATTATTTAATTTGTTACCCTTTCTATAATGTTTATTCAAAATTATAGCATAACGAGTGGTCATAAAAGGATGTGTAAGCAGCAACTTGACTTACTGCTCATTTTGCTTTCCCCATCATCGGCCCCAGCGCTTGCGTTTGCATCCTCCTTAGTACAACATTCATTATATGCAAAAGATATGGACACCACGATTTCTATGTGAAAAGCGCATTCGGGAAATAGGATTAGAGGTAAATTTTCGGCCTAAATTTTTGAATAAGGTTTTGATAAGACATAGTTTTTTTTAATATTAGGTACAACATACATCTATCCTATAACCTAGCAATTCCACTACTAGGTATTTAACCAAGAGCAAAGAAATGAAGTACGTCCATGATATACACAACAACATGCATGAATCTCAAAATCCTTATGCTGACCAAAAAAAGTCAGACAGAAAAAGAATATACATCGTGACTCCATTTACATGAAATTCTAGAACAGACAAACGAGTCTATGCTGGAAAGAAATGAGAACAATGCTTGGGGGTTGAGAGGAGGATTAACTGGAAAGGAACACAAGCGAACTTTCTGGGACGAGACGACAGAAACATTCTGTGTCTTGATCAGAGTGATAGTTACACGGCATATACATTTGCCAAAACTGATCAAATTATAAATTTTACCATGCATTTTTTGTATGTAAGTTATGCCTCAATTTAAAAGAAAGAGTACGGACAGGGAAAAAAATGTGGCACGAAAATCTCATTCCATTAAAGTAGCCAGTAATCTAAGTCAAAATTACTCACCTAAATAAAATGTGAAGAATGTTGGGTGGTTAAAAAAAAAATAACCAAAAGAAATTCTAACACCTGCTACAACATGGACGAATCTTAAAGACATTATCCTAAGTGAAATAAGCCAGTGACAAAGACAGATACTGTATGAGTCCACTTATATGAGGGGCCTAGAGAAGTCAAATTATAGAAACAAAGTGGAGTGGGGCCGGCCCCACGGCCGAGTGGTTCAGTTCGCACGCTCTGCTGCGGCGGCCTAGGGTTTCCCTGGTTCAAATCCTGGGTGTGGACATGGCACTGCTTGTCAAGCCATGCTGAGGCGGCATCCCACATGCCACAACTAGGACTCACAACTAAGAATATACAACTACGTACTGGGGGACTCTGGGGAGAAAACAGAAAAAAATAACATCTTTAAAAGAAAAAAGAAAACCAAAAGAAACAAGTGGAATGGCAGTTGTCAGGGGCTGGCGGGAAGGGCCAATGGTAGGTAGTTTGAGAAGATGAAAAAACTAGAAACAGATTGTGATGATGGTTGCACAACAATGTGAATGTACTTAATGCCATTGAACTGTACACTTAAAAATGGTTAAAATGGTAAATGTTATGCTGTGAATATTTTACCACCCAAAAAAAAAACCAAGATAAAAACTCTGAAATCTCATTAGACTGCTTATCTAGTTGCTTAGCTCAAAAGAACTGTGGAGATTGCTGTGCAGGCCTTCTTTGAAAACAATCATTCCTTTCTGAATCCTTCTGGGATGAGCCAAAGGAAAACAGGCTCTACACTTTCCTCTCGTTTTATTTTAAATCTTAGATCTAGTAAAGCTGTCACGACAGAAGTCAGGGATGTTTGCCTCCATCAGAACAATAGTCCTTAATCAATTAGGGGTCATAGATGCTTCTGAAAAATCAGATAAAAGTCACTGACCACAATTCTTCATCTGAGGGTAATGAGGTGGCTTCACCTAGTTCATAGGTTAGACCCTCAGAGGTCTACACTTTGAGGGGAACAAAGAACCATACGTGTCAGGATTACAAGCAGAAGCAGGAACTCAAGGCTTGCAGGCAAGTCAGACAGAAGGGTGGAAGTTTCAGCCCACCTGCCTTGGAGACATCCCACCCTACTCCCTGGGCCTCAGGGCTATGAGCGCACTCAGCGGACCGAGGCTGAATCCATCTGTCCACCCAGACAGAACCAGAACACACCAGCACCACCCACAAGGCTTACCTCATGCTGGGGATGGCATGGTAGCCCAATCGGAAGCGGAGTTTGCTGGACCCCGCAAACTCTGCAATCACCTTTTCCCCGACAGCGTGCATGTGCTTGAGGAGCTCGAGGTGTTCCCTGGTCACAGCCTTCAGACTGGAAAGGGAGGCCCACGGTAAGACCAGCCAGTGGTGACGAGCCTTGGGGTATTTATCCTTAATCACCACCACCTGCTCGTCTTTGTAAACCTAGCAGAGGACACAAGAGAAGAAAACGGACATCTACCATGCATCTTCTGTGTGCCAGGAGATGTCATCTTCTTTAACTCACTTAATTCCCACCACAATCTTGTGCAAAAGGTTTTCGTATCCAATTTTGACGGATGAGCCCACAGAGACTCAGATAAGCTGAATGTCTGGCACAAAGTCTCACAGTTACTAAGTGGGAAATCTACGATTCCAATCCAGATCTAGTTGACTCAGAGTCTGTGTTTTCAATCACCATACTACACAGAATACACAGACAATGCACAGTACGAAACACTTCCTAAGGATCTGATGTGAAATCCTTGCTGGCATAAATTTCAAATGCACTCTTCTCTGCCCTAACACAGCAGACCATGTGACACACGCACGTGTGTTCCAAGAAGCCCTATCAGATCTGGCCCCTTGTCACCCAAGGATGTAATTCAAGAACTCAGACTCCTCCCAGGATGATGCCTGACTACTAATCCCAGGGCAGCCTAGTAACTACAGTCACAATACATTATCTGACGTTCCCTTGAAAGGGACCACATGAAGGCTAACACAACTTCCCTTAACAGTACCCAGAAGTTTAGGAGGAACAAGGCAGAGGGGATATTCACTTGCAGAACTGAGCTTTTCTCCAAAGAATTCCAGTTGCTAACTTACTGACAATGGGAAAAGCCATTTGTTCTCACAAAATAGCCCAATAAAAGGAATTTCATTCAGAAGGACTGATCTCCTTTGATTTCACTTGTATTATGACCTCTGTGGAGTGGTCCTTTAAAACATGAAATGTATTTCCATGCCAAAATTTTATTCTCACTTGCATTTTGGGGTCCTGCATAGAAATCTTCAAGCCTTGACTCCAGTGGCCCAATGATTCCTAAAACAAAAAGGCAAAATAAATCCTAACTGCCAGTAGTTAAATTTGGCATTAGTTAATATTGTGTGTTAGCACAGTCCAACCAAACTTGAAAATAAGGTTAGTTTTTAAGAATGAAACTACATTCCCTTTACCTCAACCTTCTGCTGTTGTAACTGTAAGCCATGGAATCTTCTTCCTATATCCAGAGCTGCATGTCTAGACAGAGGCTGGACATGCCAGTGTGAATGCATCCTCTTTGCCCCCTACCACTCCACCTACAGCCTGACTAAGTTTCCACTTCGACATCCGGATGCGAATGACATGATCTATGAAAAGTGTTCCCATGCTAACCTATAGGTACACAAATGAGCGACCCATCTCAGTAGCTCAGAGTTAATACACTGCCATTACAGCCCTACCTTCAAGTGGCTTACCTCAGGAATTCAAGAGAAAAGTACATAAAGGGATATTCATCCAGCTGACTGGTGACACAAACAAGAGCCTCTGTCATCACGGTTAATAACCCTTGTCATGGTTAATAACCCCCTACTGTCCAGGCTTCACAGCCTACGAAACACCTCAGCAGTCATTACATCTCATTTAATCTCCCCAGCGTCCATCAAGCACCCGACCCTCACCTTTTTGGCAGATGCATCTTTCCCCTTCTGTGCGGGCATAGAGCACTGGCTAGGGTCACTCCCAGATTCCAGTCTTGTACTGGACTCAGCTTTCTGGGCAGCATCCCTTCCTACAGAGTCACTGTTGCTTGACCTCATTCTCTTCCTGTGTGCTTCCAGGCCAGGGCTCTTTGCCTCTTCCTCAAACTCTACAATATATGGATACAGTTCATTCACCATGTGGAGAACCTGGCCAGGCTGCAGTGTCACCTCTTGGTCCTTCCCAATTACAACTGAGTCAATGCTGCTGGGATTGACCCCCACCTATGGAATAATCAGAAAATAATTATAATAATGGCAATGACACCATTAGGAATACAGCCACTGCTATGCTAACCACTTACTATGTGCCAGGCACCATGCTTAATGTCACTTACGTTACTCCGTCACTTCCACACATGATAAAGAAGCCTATATTGGCTGGCCCAGACATTCTCAAGTCAACAGCATAAGAAAATCAAGCGTAAAATAGAAATCCAAGTTACAGACAGACATACCTGCTTTACCTTGACATATCCTTTGTCACATTCTGCTTTCAACTGTACTGAAAGAGATTGAAAACAGTTACACCCAAATGCCATGAAGAACCAGGCCCTTGCTCCTATCTCCCTAGAGGTCAATGAAGCCTCACTCCAGGAGGCAACCTGACAGGGGTCTCCTCAAAGCCCTATCAGTAAAATTGCCTGTTACACAGGTGGCTGGGGCTCCAAATCCTTGCAGAAAATGTCCAATGGCATACATATAGTCATATATTGCATAACGAAGGGGATACTGTCTAAGAAATCTGTTGTTACATGATTTCGTCATGATGCAAGCATCATAGAGTGTACTTACACAAACCCAGATGGTACAGCCTTCTACACTCCTAGGCTCTATGGTATTAACCTTATGGGACCACCATTGTAGATGCGGTCTGTCATTGACAGCCAACACCATCATCCATACTACCTTAGCTACTGCTAATATCCGTATGCGACACCTTCACTGAATCCCCACAGGTCTCCCTATTCCAGAGCCCTTGGCCCACTCAGGATCACAGACTCTGCAGTCAGGGAAGCAGACCCACTTCTCTCACAAGCTCTTGGCTCAGGATTAAATCAGGTTTCCACTATTACATAAAACTATCAGATGCCTTCATGGAGAAAGAGACAGAAGATACATTCCTGGAAAACAGAAGTTCAGCTGGCATAGGGTGGGAGGAGTGAAGAGAATATTCTAGAAAGAAGACTGCAGGGGGCCAGCCCCGTGGCTGAGTGGTTAAGTTCGCGCACTCTGCTTTGGCGGCCCACGGTTTCACTGGTTCAGATCCTGGACGTGGAGATGGCACCGCTCATCAGGCCACATTGAGGCGGCATCCCACATGCCACAATTAAAGGACCCACAACTAAAATATACAACTATGTACTGGAGGGACTTGGGGAGAAAAAGAAAAAAAAAGAAAAAAATTGGCAACAGTTGTTAGCTCAGGTGCCAAGCTTAAAAAACACAAAAGATGCTAGGGGAAAAAAAGGAAGATTGAGAGTCAGAACAGTGTGAGCATGTGTGGGAAGAAGTAACATTAAACACTCACGTTGAGGTAAGTGAACAAAGTTTCCAGGGTGAGACAGGGAGGAAAGAAGAGATACCATAGCTGTTCTCCATGGAGGATACGCTGACACATACGTTCCTACAGTTGCTGCTCTGACGAGGGGGACAGAGAGCGAGAAGCAGTGTCTTCTTCTGAATCTTGGATCTAACCTGCTCAAGCGTGGCTTTTTTTTCCCCATTTAGATTAACTTTTGTGGGAAAAACCAAAATCAGTGCTGCAGACTGTGAGCCTTGGGAAACTCTGCTATGGGAATCACACTGCAGGAGGCCTGCTGGCAGTGAGCATGTCTGCAGTTTTAGAGAAAAAGTGAGGTACATAATGAGGCTTTTTCCTAGGGACTTTCATTTCACTAAATCCCAGGAAAGGCATTTCAAGAGCTGGATGCCGTAGTCTTACAAAGATACCACCCTCTGTGGGAGGCAACGTGTAAAGGATGGAACCACCCCATCACTTCTTAGACACGGTTTCAGCCTGGAGATCCCAGAACTCAACTGTCTAACTGCCCAACGTGAACTCTCCTCAGGCAGGGCAGGGTGCAGGATTCAGTTCCAGCACCTCGTAGTAACAGGATGGAAGCCGCCTGTTCCCAACACTGAACACTAACCACTGTCACAGGGTGGAATCAGGAGGGAATGGGGCCCTGGTGTTGGCTAAAAGAGCTCAGTTCCTGAGTTTTGTCTATAGCAGACAAAAGATTTCCTATCAAAAGCACCCAGGAAATGTGCATCTTTGGTTATCACGACCCAAAGGAACCAAACATGGTAATCTCCACATTCCTAAGACAGTTACCTTGCTGTCGAGAACATTTCTTGTCAGTGATCTTGGTCTCTGGGCCGCGCCCAAGCACAACTGCTTCCAAATGTGGAAGTTTGATTCGCTGGTGCCAGCTGTCCTGTCTTACCAACCAGCACACCCGCATCATTACTCTGGGAGAAAAACAGAAGAGGATCTGGGAAAACCAGCCCAAGTCCTCCACGGCCACACCCAGCACCACCACACACGCCATTTACCAACTGTTCATCTCAAGGCAAGTGACCTCACCTCCCTAGTCTCAATTTCCTCACCTGTAAAATGTGATAATGACAGGACTCTGAGGCTGTTGTGAGGATTAAATAAGATAATGCGGGTGAAGTATTTACTTCTGTGCCTGAATCATGCTAAGCAATCAAATATTTGTTAAGTTTATTGATAAATTCTATGTGCTACATGCTGAAGATCAAAGGAGCAAAGAACGATTACGCACTGTCCCTATCCTTGAGGGGCCTGGGGAATGGGGGCGGGGGCAGACAGACTCAAATACCAATTATTACAATATAATGGGATAAGCACTATAAGAAGGGAGTAACCAAATAGGCATTAGCCCAGGGAAAGGAATGACTGACTCTCGCAGGGAGTGTCAAAAAAGGCTTCATAAGAGCCAGCCCTGATGGCCTAAAGGTTAAAGTTCGGCATGCTGGGCTGCAGTGGCCCAGGTTCGGTTCCCAGGAGGAGAGCCACACCACTCATCTGTCAGAAGCCATGCTGTGGCAGCAGCTCACACAGAAGAACCAGAAGGACTTACAACTAGCATATACAGCTATGTACTGGGGCTTTGAGGAAGGAAAGAAAGAGAGGAAGATTGGCAACAGATTTTAGCTCCAGACAAATCTTTCCCAGCAAAAAAAAAAGGCTTCATGAGGAAGGAGTATTTGTGCTGGGTTTTAAAGGATGAGGAGGAGTCTGCCTGGCAGAGAACTAAGGACATAAGAACAGAGGATGTTCTTCAGTCCACAGGCATCTTTATGTGTATCAGAAGATTTCCCTTCCTTAATTGTCAATAACATATTGATGTTAGAACAATACATTTTACTGCCATCTGCCAGAAGATCGTCATAATAAACATACAAACCTAAAATTTCTAAAGTGTGAATGCAGCACGTTTGTGCAATACATAACCTGCACAAGTGTGGAGGTGCTGGTCTTCTTTTGAAAATTAACTTTCATGGCCATGTAGAGTATCAGCAGAGGAGAAAGAGACAAGAAATTCAGGAGAGAGAGGAGGCCTGCACAAAGGGGATGGAGAGGAAGAAGAAATCATGCAGGTAGACTTGATTACTGACTGCATTTGGGGCATGACAAAGGAGTAGAGAGACACCAACCAGGACTTTTTCTCTTTTTTTGAGGAAGATTAGCCCTGAGCTAACTACTGCCGGTCCTCCTCTATTTGCTGAGGAAGACTGACCCTGAGCTAACATCCGTGCCCATCTTCCTCTACTTTATACATGGGACGCCTACCACAGCACGGCTTTTTGCCAAGCGGTGCCATGTCCGCACCCAGGATCCAAACCGGCGAACCCTGGACCACCGAGAAGCAGAACGTGCAAACTTAACCACTGCGCCACTGGACCGGCCCCAACCAACCAGGATTTCTAATTTGGAAATATCCATGAAGCAAAATGAGGAATATACAAGGAGACATAATCTGGGGACAAACGGTAGGGGAAGAAGAAGTGATTTCAGATTGAAACATGAGATTAAGTTGCCTGTGGCAGATCCCAGGGTCAAGTCGGGTATACAGGTATGAAGCTCAGGGAGAGGAATGGACTGAAGGACATCAACAGGTCACAGAAGCTGAGGCAGAGGGAGAGGAGGAGATCACCCAGGGAGGCTGGGCAGGGACAGGACTAGATCTTTGGGATGCCTCCCTAGACTCCAGAAGCTTATCAATGCTCAAGCCGCTAAGACACTTTCTTTGGGAAGTGTCCCCTGTAGGCAAGGCAGCACTTACCAGGCCCTCTGCACAAGCTTTGTGTCCAAGGGGGAGAGAAAACAAACCAGATTTTAAAAAATCAGAGTTGCGTTACCAACTGCAAAGACAGGATCACGCACGGCAGAGTGAGCAAATGAGGGCTGAGGAGGTGCAGTCACAGGAAGTGGATCAGTCAGGAAAGGCTTCAGAAACCGCCCAGTCGAAAAGGCCAAGAGCCAAGGGGACTGACAAGGAAGAAAAAGAGTAGGAGGGGACACTCCATAGAGCACGAGTGACAGCACAGATTTCAGCAATGACAAGCAACTGGTCAGGGTGGAAAGGAGACTTTAGTTGGCTGACCCAGAGGAGCTGCCCCAGGGAGTGACAAAAAAAGACGAAGGTGTTGAAAGAACAGTAGGCTAAAAGTTTAGATCTGACAGTCAGTGGAAGACAACTGGCAGGTTCTGAGCTGCACAGTAAGGTGAAGCAACAGCTGTGTGTACAGAAGCTGGAGTGGAGACATCTAGAGTCAGAGACTAGTCAGGAGGCTGTTACTATAATGTGGGCCAGAGGGAGGTCCAAACAGCAGGCCAGCAGGTCTGTGAAGTTGAAGCAAGAGCATGAAGAGCCAGCTGTAAATCTAACATCCGAAACCTGCAGCCTCAGATGATGATGGCGCTGCAGGAAGGCCCCACTTCCAAATGCGTGTGCTCAGAGGGGCATCTGTCTGCACTTGCTGGAAACCGACGGATGAGCAGGTAATGGACCGAGAAGTGAAGTATGTCTTCAATAGAAATTGGCAAATAAGTCACGTGGTAACTGACTGCTCACGCTGACAGTAAAAGAAGCCTGGAAAGAACACAGTTTGAGAGCAGGGCCAGAAAGGAATCTGACGGGCAGCTGAGAGCACGGCTGGCTGCTGCAGAATAAGAGGAACTACCCCTCCAGCCCGACACAAACACACATTCACACACTTGATTCTCCCCAAAGTTCTGAAGTTATGACGTTCCTATTTACTACTTCTTGAGAAGCTGAAGCAGTGACTGCACAATGCTTGTGCAACTCACCTTAAGCAATACCTTGGCCCATGTCAGCCTCCAGCTACAGCTTCTAGGAATGAAGCATTTTAGGCTATGGGGAGCACACAAGATGGGTGTTCCCGAATCCTCAATATAGTCCCTCCAGTAAAACATCATAAAGAGTAAGCTCTAAGAAGGTAGAGGTCAAGCCCATTTTTGCTTATCAGTATATTCCCAGCACTTAACACAATACCTGGCACACAGCAAGAATACAATAAACATTTGCAAGTGAATGACCAGATGAGAACTCTCCCAGGCTCTCTTCCCTTCCTTCTCTCTGCCCTCCTCCGGCTCATCTTCTTCTTAGGCTCATCTTCTTCTTAGGGCGGTGCTTTGCTCCTCTCTTGGGGCAATCCCATACATCCTCACAACTATGTGAATGAATTCTAATTTTCTATTTTTCAGCTCCATACCTTTCATTCCAGAATTGTGAGGACTGGTCAGAAAGAAATTCTGATTATTTCATAAGGAACCCATGTGATCTGACGGGCCACAGAAGGCCATCAATCTGATGACCTGGAATTGCACTGTCCAATAGAATTTTCTGCAATGAAGGAAATGTCCTAAACTTGCTCTGTTCAATAACACAGCCACCATGTGACAATCGAGCATTTGAAATGTAGCTAACGTGACAGAGGAACTGAATATCTTACGTAAGATTTTTTAAAACTTAATTTAAGTTTAAATAGGCAAATGTGGCCGGGGGCTACCATAATGTCCAACACAGCCCTGGAAAATTGCCCAGCCCTGATCAGTCTCAAACCCCTCAGGCTTGAAGTTGAGACCCTCATACTCTAACTCCACAGAGGTTACTTCTTTGACCTTCCACTGCTTTTCACAGAACTAGTCCCATTTACCCATCCCGCTCTCCCCTCCCTTCTCCCAGACTCACATACATGCATCCTTGCACACACATACATCCTTCAGATAAAACGCACTGAATCACATCTCCCAAATAAATCATTCTTAATATCACCTCCTGGTATTGGTTTACATTCTCTCTGCCCTCCTAGAAACCAAAATCCTACTCAAATTTCAAGTCCCACCTCCTCCCTGAAGCCTTCACTGAGCTGTCTTCTCTCCTCCACATCTTGTTATTGGGTGTGGTCGATTTACCATCACAGTTCTCTGAAAATGTAATGTAGATATAACTCTCTTCTCCAAATGAGACTATAATCTCCTTGTGAACAGACTGCACCATAGCCCATAGATCCAGGAAACCTGGAGGAAGGGCCTCTGGCGATCACTGCCCAGGACGAGGCCTGGTCTTGTACTTCTGGATCCCCTGGTATTAAGCATACCTTTATCAAAGGCTAGGCACTTTGTGCTAGGCACTTGCTAAATGTCTTACTTATATCATCTTATTTAATCTTCACAACAACTCTTATTTCAAGAAAGAGAAAATTTAAGGCTTAGAGAACATTAGTTACATGCTCATGTCACATAGCCAATGTGTGCCAGAGGTAGGTTTTTTTTTGTTTTTGTTTTTGTTTTTGCTGAGGAAAATTTGCCTGAGCTAACATCTGTTGAGAGAGGCACATGGAGAAACAGCTAGAATGCAAGCTCCTTGAGGGAAAGCACTTGGTCTTCTTCATCTCTGTATCACAACGTTTGTTGAATAAAGCAGCTGAGTGTAAGGTCCTGGAAAGCAAAGGAGTAGGGAGTGAGAGGTATCACCAAGTTCCAAAAGCAGCAAAGAGATTCACTAGTGATTGAAAATGCCTATCTGGTTTGATCATCAATCACTGGTAACCTCCAAGCATAATTTCAGAATAAGGACAGATCTGAGAGCTAGACTGCAGAGGGGATGCAAGGTGAGGAAACAGAGACAGAATTTAGAACACTCTAAGAAACAGTCTGGATAAGAGGGGGAAGAGAGTTACTGGATGACAGCTAAAGGAAGATGGATCACCAAGAACTTTTTCTTTCTGGCATGCTGCGGGGGAGAGGGGTAGCCAGGAATCTGAAAAACCTGACCTTGTTTATGCATGACTGGGACATAGACGGGGCAGAAAAGACAAACAAAAACAAGGTCTCACAGGTGAAAGTATAAAAGAAAGGCCAGAAGCAAAGATAAGATTTGCTTTGATCAGAGGAGACAGTTCAGGCTGAGACTGAAGGAAAGGTAAAGATGGGTGTAAATCTAGACGACTCTGAGAAGGAAAAGCAGGGGCAGAAATCTAAGGAAAAGCACACTTGATTACCTCGATTTTCTCCATAAAATAGTAGATAACAACGGCGTGAGGTGTTTGGGAACTTAATGAATAACTGAAGAAGGTCAAGATAGAACAGTGGAGAACATCCAGGCCTCTGAGGCCCACCTGCTTGACTTCAAATCTTGGCTCCACCGCCTACTCACTATGTGACTTGAGGCCAGTTATTTAACCTGTCTTTATTTCTTCAGCTGTAAAACGATATTAATAATTGCTCAGCACCACCGGGTTGTCACAAGGGCTAAATGAGGAAGTATATAAACCTCAATGTCTGGCAAAAAGTAAGCATTCAACACTATTATCACTCTTGTAAATAGTGATGGTGGAATGAAAGCAGGAGCTAAGGACATGTTAAAAGACCATCCAACAGCTCTGACTGTGCGACTACAGTGAAAGGGCACAAATCTGTATTGTCAGCCCATATGAACAGTCCTGTCTCAAGTGCTCTAACGACCCATAATAATAAATCAAATTCCCAAAAGACTGCAGACCTGGACCACATTCATTCCAATGGAAATCAGATCCCTGCCTTTGTTGAACCGCTATCACTGGTCTGCGTGAGAAAAGGCGTGCTGCTTCTGGCCTTCCCGGAAGGCCTGCTGAGGCCGCTGGGAAGGGCCCTCGAGTTCCTTTCAAGGCGCGTTTCTGCAGGAAACAATGTCCTTCCCGACAAGCTGAGCCACCTCCTTGGGTTGGACAGTGTCCAGCCTCTGAACTTTTCTCTGCCTGTGTAGCGACCAAGCTAGATACAGCGTCGGGGGTACAGGAGGGCGAACCCCAAGTGGGTCGGAGACCAAGGTGAGCGCCGCCCAAACACGGCCCAAGGGAGCAGGATGGCAGTGGGTTGCCGAGCGCCCTGGAGCGCGAGGAGCGAGCAGCCCCTGCCGGGAAGGCAGCCCAGAGAGCGTTATTCAAAGCCCAGCACGCACGGGCAGGAGCGGACCGGCCTAAGGCCCACACCCAGCCTTTCGACCCGGCCAGCAGAGGAGGTACGCCCACAACTGCCTTACCTCAAGAGCGCAAGGACCTGCAAGTTCGCATCACTCCTCCATGCCGCACCACTTCCGGCCCTGCCGGATGACGTCACGAGACAGGCTGGTGTGCGGCCAGTGACGTCACCAGCGCCTGTCCGAAGATTGGCTGAGAGGGTCTCACCCAATGCCCGGATCGGGAAGTGCCCGCCCCAATTGGTCCCTCACCGGGCAGTGGCCCTGTTGTGGTTCCCGGAGATTAACTCGGCGGACGAACTCTTTCAGCATCTCGTTACCTGAGAGCTGCTGCCCTCTCCCCGCCTCTGTCTCTGAGTTGAAAGAGACTTCAGGCGGCTTATCCCCTCTGGCCCTTTCTAGGCAGTCTCTTGACACTCCTTTCGGAAGGAGAAGCTCGCTACTTTTAAGGCCGTCTTTTCGGCCGCAAAACCGTACCTACTCGTAGCATTGTTTTCCCGTCCCCTTTCAAAACTACGATCTGCTTTCTCCTTTTTCGAGGGAGAAGGAACTGGAGGGGCTAGAGGCGGAGAAACCTGCTAAGATTTTCTGAGTGGTGTCTTCACTAAATGAACTGACGGAAGGGCAATCAGAGAGGAGAGAAGCAGGATGTTGGGATGAGATATGTCTGCCGATTTTTATAGCAATTCCAGGATGTTCCCTAAGCGTCAGGTATTGCAATGACTGGAAGGCATTTGGGCAGATGGAAAAATGCCTGTCTCCTGGGTGAAGGAATAGTTTATAATTTTTCTCAAACTCAGTAGAAACTGAACCTTTAGATGTCACATTTCTTGATCAAGATAGGATGTTATTTCCTTCCATGGAAAAGCAGAGACTCAAGGGTGCGAAGATATCAAAGCTATCAAAACAGACGGTGGGAGGATCTTCCAGGAAACACAGAAGAGACTTGCCCTCCTTAGCAAAGAAGATGCAGGTTCATATTAGGGTCACACCAGGACCAGGAAGTGGGGAGCAGAGGAAGCATCGCAGCGGCACCGTGGGCCTCATGGCGGTGGAGTGTGGGTCACACTGCTCCACGTAAAAAGAGGCAGCTCTGGTAACCTGAACAGTTGTGTTGTTTCCTCAGAGTTAAGCTTCTTTCAGTCTCTGCTTCTACTTGATCTGCCTTCGTGTGTCTTGCATTCAAAATTGTATTGGATTTTGCTAATTAGGTTATTCACCATATGTTATGTAAAATTGGGCAGAGCTTCCAGAGCCAGCCTATTAAGTGTAGCCCTTTGTCTACAGCGTATTGCTGGCCAGAGAAGCAGGGTCGCATGGCACAACGCATGGCTAAGGGCAGGGCAGGCACTTAAGACTTTCATAGACCCCAGAACTGAAGATTTATCACAAACAGATACCTAGAAATTAACAGAGTCTATGGAATTACCTAATGTAGTAGCTCTCCAAGTGTAACCCTTGGATCAGTATCGGTAGCCTCACAACACCTGGGAATTTGTTAGAAATGCAAATTCTCGAGCCTCGCCCCAGGCTTACTGATTCTGAAACTCCGGGGGTGGGGCCCAGCAATCCGTTCCACAAGCCCTCCCTGAGGCTTGCTCAAGTTTGAGATTCACTGATGGAAGGCAAAGGCTTCAACCGTACACAGAGAAAAATGTGTGGTGTTAGGCTGCTCAGGGCTTTTTTGGAGTTTTTTTCTTTTTTCAAATTAAAAATTTTTTTTTTTATTGTGGCAAAAAACATAAAACTTACCATCTTAGCCATTTTTAAGTATACAGGTCAGTAGTGTTAAGTATATTCACATTGTAGTGAAATCTATCTCCAGAACTTTTTAATCTTCCAAAACTGAAACTCTGTATTAATGAAACAACAACTCCCATTTCCCAATTGCCCAACCCCTGACAGCCCCCATTCTACTTTCAGTTTCCATGAATTTGACCACTCTCGATACCTCATATAAGGGAAATCACACAGTATTTGTCTTTTGGTGACTGGCCTATTTCACTTAGCGTAATGTCCTCAAGTTTCACTCATGTGTGATGTGTCAAAACTTCCTTTTTGTTTGTTTGTGGTTTTTTGAGGAAGATCAGCCCTGAGCTAACGTCTGCCACCAATCCTCCTCTTTTTGCTGAGGAAGACTGGCCCTGAGCTAACATCCATGCGCATCTTCCTCTACTTTATATGTGGGACGCCTGCCACAGCATGGTATGCCAAGCAGTGCCATGTCCACACCGGGGATCCAAACCTGCGAACCCCAGGCCGCCGAAGCGAAACATGCGAACTTAACCCCTGTGCCACCGGGCCGGCCCCAAAACTTCCTTTTTAAGGCTAAATAACACTCTACTGGATATATATACCACACTTTGTTTATCTATTCATCTTTCACTGGACGTTTGGATTGCTTCCACCTTTTGGCTGTTATGAATAGTGCTGCTATGAACATGGTTGTATATGGTTGTACATATCTCTTCGAAGTTCTGCCTTAAATTCTTTTGGATATATACCCAAAAGTGGGATTGCTGGGCCATAAGATAACTCTATTTTTTTTTTAAGATTTTATTTTTTTCCTTTTTCTCCCCAAAGCCCCCTAGTACATAGTTGTATATTCTTTTTTGTGGGTCCTTCTAGTTGTGGCATGTGGGACGCTGCCTCAGCGTGGTTTGATGAGCAGCGCCATGTCCGCGCCCAGGATTCGAACCAACGAAACACTGGGCCACCTGCAGTGGAGTGTGCAAACTTAACCACTCGGCCATGGGGCCAGCCCCAAGATAACTCTATTTTTAATATTTTAAGAAACGACCTAATGCTTTCCATAGCAGCTGCACCATTTTATATTCCCACCAATAGGGCACAAGGGATCCAATTTCTCCACATCCTCAACAACACTTCTTATTTTCTAGTTTTGGGGTATTTTTCTTTTCTCTCCAAAGCACCAGTACATAGTCGTATATACTAGTTGTAGGTCATTCTAGTTCTTCTATGTGGGATGCAGCCACAGCATGGCTTGATGAGCAGTACATAGGTCCGCACCAAGGATTGGAACTGGCAAACCCTGGGACCCCGGGCTGCCAAAGTGGAGCATGCCATCTTAACCACTCAGCCACAGGGCCAGCCCCAGGTGTTTTTGTTTTTTTTTTAATAGCAGTCATCCTAATGGGTGTGAGGTGATATCTCATGGTGGCTTTGATTTGCATTTCTCTAATGACTAGTGATGTTGAGCACCTTTTCATATGTTTGTTGGCCATTTGTACATCTTCTTTGGAGAAATGTCTATTCGAATCCTTTGCCCATTTTTTTTACCCTATAGTTAAAAGTACAATGTATTCACACAGCAAATGACATAATCTAACAACACAAAATCAAGAGAAGACACTTGAATATTATGTTAAGAAACTAAACAAGAAATTAGCAAATACATAATGCATAAATGTGCCTTATTAGTTCAATGCTGATTATCTTTTTCTTTAAATTATTTTTATTGAGGTCATATTTTTTGCCCATTTTTTAACTGAGTTAGTTTGTTGTTGCATTGTATAAATTCTTTTTATATTCTGGATATTAACCCTTTATCAGATATATGACTTGCAAATATTTTTTCCCATTTTGTAGGTTGCCTTTTCACTTTGTCAGTTGTGCCCTTTGATGCACATAAGTTTTTAATTTTGATGTAGTCCAATTTACCTATTTTTACTTTTTTTTTTTTTTTTTTTGGTTAGGAAGATTGGCCCTGAGCTAATATCTGTTGTCAATCTTCCTCTTTTTGCTTGAGGAAGATTATTGCTGAGCTAATGAGCTAACATCTGAGCCAGTCTTCTTCTATTTTGTATGTGGGATACTGCCACAGTGTGGCTTGACAAGCAATGTGTAGGTCCACACCTGGGATCTGAACCTGAGAACCTCAGGCCACCAAAGCAGAGCGTGCAGTCTTAACCACTCCACCACCAGGCCGGCCGCCCTATTTTTACCTTTGCTGCCTATACTTTTCGTATCATATCCAAGAAATCATTGGAAGCTTTTCGCCTATGGTTTATAGTTTTAGGTCTTACATGTAGGTCTTTGAGCCATTTTGAGTTCATTTTTTATGTGATGTAAGATAAGGGTCTAACTTCATCCTTTTGCCGGTGGCTATAACCAGTTTCCCCAACACTGTTTGTTGAAAACACTGTCCTATCCCCATTGAATGGTCTTGGAATCCTTGTTGAAAATCATTTGACCATCTATGTATGGGTTTATTTCTGTGCTCTCTATTCTATTCCCTTGCTCTATATGTCTCTCTTTATGCCAGAACTACCCTGTTTTGATTACTGTAGATTTGTAACAGCTTTTGAAATCAGGAGGTGTGAGACCTCCAACTTTGTTCTTTTTCAAGATTGTTTTGACTATCCTGCTCAGGAGTTTTTCATGTCAACAGTTAGAAATTAGAAGATCTTGCATGAAAATCAGGATTCTTCGTCTCTTGAAAAAAATCAATAAATACAGCAAATTCTGGCAACAAATAGCCAGAATCATGAGTGGCTGCCAGGCGCTCTCCAGTTTCCCACTGTCTCCACCCACTCGCTTATATAATCTGTCTGGCCCCCTGAAGGCCCTTCTTTCTTGGAGACTTTGAGACTTCTGGTCTATGGGAAAGACAGCTGGAGCCAGAGGACCGACCTGGGGAGGCTGCAGTGGTCTGGTCCAGAGATTCGCTCAGAAGGAAAAGTAGAGAGTTCTGGGAGACAGCATAACTAGGAAACTTTATTTTGTTTTTAGTTTTTTGAGAGGGGAGAGCGTGGGAGGGGGTTGGAAGGGATGTCAGGAAAGACCTATCTGAGGAAAGGAAAGTAAACCAAGTCCAGAAAGATGAAAAGGAAACAGCCAAGTGAAGACTTGGTGGGAGAATACTCTAGGTCTCTGATGTAGATTCAGGAAAGAGCATGTGAGAAGCCCTGCAGCAGGGCCTTTAGCATGTCCTTTCAGGCGTGATGAAGTCCAGGGGAGCTGAAGAGTAGACAGTGAAAGGAAAATATTGATGAGATCTGAGCAAGGCTCAGATGGGAAACCAGTTAGGAACTGTATGTGGGTTCACCCTATATTCAATGAAAAACCCCTGAAGAGTTAGCCAGGGAATACCCTTATTAGATTTTCATTTTATGAAGATCACCATTGCTGCTGTGAGGAGGA